TAGGTGCAGGTAGGTGTGCATGACCAGACTCTCTTCCCCACCACGTGTCTGGCCTGCCCCAGGGATCACCCTTTCTCTTGTGCTGACCATTCTTGCACAGGACCATGGCACAACACAGACCAGGAACATGATCAGCCTCGAGAAGCCGCCTTAAAATAACCCCCCCAGTTTTAAACCAGAGATCAGTTATTTCCACTGGCATCATGGCACAGCCCCAAAAGACAGCTTCAGGACAGAGGGGAGACACAGCGTGGAAATGAGCAGCCAAAGCAAACGGAAACTCCTTCCCTCTGTACAGCACTAACCTGCAGCCCGAGCTTTAGAAACAACGGCAAAATAAATAGAAACTAACTTAAAAACCAACTAAAACACCTGAGAGGGAAAAAAGAAAACCACCTGGTGGCCCTCTCACAGGTCTCTAGTCCTACAGCACCTGCAAAGCTTGTCAAGAGCTCACACAGATGGCAGCACCAAAGGAAGCCACTGCGAGCCCCCGTCGCTCCACACAGCAGTAGCGGTGGAGGAGAAGGAAAAGACTTGCTTACAAACGTGAAAGCAGTCTTGTGACCAGCAAAGGGTTATATATATATATACATATCTCTCTCTCTCCTTATACAAGACAGGCGGGTTACTGATGTGTGTCAGGAAGAGGAGCCCCATGGACCTGAGCCCACGAGGAAGTGGGAGAGGCAGCAGAAAGAGAGCAGGGCTGTGATGGAGATGGCATTTCTGCCCACAATCCTGTGCCCAGTCTCTTCTGAATCTCACTGCAGTGAAGACTTTCCTGTGTGCTAGTGTGTGGTATCAGGCCAGGAGACCCTTGGGGCAAAACATACATATCTCTCTCTCTCCTTATACAAGACAGGCGGGTTACTGATGTGTGTCAGGAAGAGGAGCCCCATGGACCTGAGCCCACGAGGAAGTGGGAGAGGCAGCAGAAAGAGAGCAGGGCTGTGATGGAGATGGCATTTCTGCCCACAATCCTGTGCCCAGTCTCTTCTGAATCTCACTGCAGTGAAGACTTTCCTGTGTGCTAGTGTGTGGTATCAGGCCAGGAGACCCTTGGGGCAAAACCAGATCTTCTCTCATTCCTCTTCAGATATGAATGCAACCAATTAGAATAAGAAATCCTGTTTACATCAGCCTGTGCCAGTCTCGGCAAGTCTCAAATTAACTCTTTTTCCCTTCCTTCTTAATGAAAGGAGACCTGGCAAGAAAAGTGGTCCTTTCCAAAACAAAAGCAGACCATTGAAGTTGGCACTCAGATCCAGGTTATTTAACGTTGCCTTCAACAGCCCTTGGATTAGCCTTTTCTCTGTAGCTCTGCCGCACAGAGATCGCGTTTCCCCTCAACAAGAGGCTTTTGGTCTGGCCAGATGAGTGGCCGTGCTTGGTCTGGTCTGCACAGGCTCCCTGCTTTGGAGGCGAGTTCCTGGGCTCTTGGAGGCTGCACTGGGGAAAGAAGGCATGGTGGGAAACCTCACGGCTTCCTCGGCCCATCAGCCTCAGCTCGAGCACCCGCATTGGTGCTCGCTGTGAAACAGGGCGGCCACTGCACACGGCGAGCTAAAGTCGTGCTTTCCTCATGACAGCGATAACGAGCGGTGATCCAGGGCTGACTTTCACCAGTGCCTGCGACAACGAGGTTTGGCTTTCACTATGCCTAGCATTTCTGTATCACTTTCTTCCCACGTATTAAAAAAAAAAAATCCCAGCACATCCCACAACTTCCCATTAACCACCACCAGCCCAATAAAGAAGGGTGGAAAGCAGCGGAGTCTTTCTCACACAATACTAGGGAAAGTGACTCTCCACGGGGCTCTCAGCACTTCCAGCAACTCGGAAACCGCAATCTAAACAGAGGACTTGGCTGCAGGAACACCTCGAGCAGGGGTAAGAAACACACAACTCAAAAGCTGGTTTTTTTTGGTGAAACAGAACAAATTACTCTCACTGTGCAAGGTCTCTTCTAACCAGACCTTGACACACCGGCTCAGACGTCGGCAGAACTTCTATTTTAGGCACGAGACAGATGCGAAGCGTGCATCAGTCAGTCTGGAGCTTGAAATACTGCATATTTGAGCTTTCACTGTCACAGTTGGATTTTTTTCTGTCCAATAGGTCTTATTCAAGGACAGCAGAGCAGCTGTAAAAGCAAGGAAGAGAATCACAAGAGGAGCAGTTTTACTGAGGCAGAAAGCAACTCTACCCTACAGATATACCAAGGTGGGGCTACGCAGTAAGCCCAGTACACTGAACCAAAGGACTTAAGGCATTATCCAACACAAAAATGAATTCAAACTTGCCAAGCTGCCTTAAAAGAAAGCAACCCAGAATTACTGATTTTGCACACTCCCTTTCACCAGGTAAAAGCCCATCTCTCGACCTTTAAACAAGGATGTGAGGCATCTCACCAGCTTAGGCACCTGAACACCTTCCTTCACGCAGATTAACACGAGCCAGCACAGAAAAACAAGTGTTGAGGATTACAGGATAAACAAAACCTGAGAACAGCAGGTAAACTGAACTGCCCTGGTAACTAATACTGCTCCCCAGCCTCGCTTCCCAGGGAGGGACAAAATCGGTGCATCGTGCTTCAGGCATCGTCTGAAAGTGGAACAGGGGTCTCAACACCACCGATATTTGGGAGTTGGGACACGTCTGCAGGAGTTTTAGACCACCCTTTTGCCAACTACCATGGGCCCTACTCAGACAAATCAATTGCTCAGAGGGCTATGCTGCAAAATCTCAGGAGCAACCCATTCAGGCATGTATTTTGCATGGTTCAGGTCCCGCTGAAGATGTTTTTTTAAGATCAAGAGGGGAACGTGGTGTTTTTTCAGCAGCCTCTTCTAACAAGTGTTGTACCCAGTGTTGCCACAGGTGGAAGTTCAGTGAAAACCATCCTCCTCCAAACTGGCCGTTTACTTACCCCCTGCCTGCATTTGTTGAGGGTTCATGTGACAAGCTGTGATTTTGCCTGCAGCCACTACAGGGGGGGGAGCACTACGGATGGGGTTGGTAGCCACAGACTTTGATCTCTTCCACCGGGAACAGTTTGGACAGCAAACCCCTCTAATGCTGTTCTAGTTTGGGAGGTTTCCTTTGAAACTAACAGCTGGAAGAGCATCAGAGGCACATGGTTAAACAGATCCTGCAAAGGTTTAAGAACTGTAAAGACCTCCGATCGATCGGAACAGTATGTTTTGGGGATTTATTTATTTAATGAAAACCAAGCACTGTTTGTATGGAACCGGGACACTTTGTATTTATAAGGTAGCTTTCCTCTGAGGATGTGAGAGCTTTTCAGACATTACAAGCCCGTCTCCTACGTTGCTGTAAGGGAAGGAGGTGTTACCGCACAATCCTTGCATCACGTGGTAACTCAGCAAGAGAGCTGTCCTCCTGGTCCCAGACCCAGGCTTCACATCTGGCTGCCCTATTAGAAGTGCGTGCAGTCACCCTGTGATCCTCCCTGCCTGCTACGGGTAAGGCAACCTGAGCTGTATTTTACTTTTTTGAACACTTGTGAAATACAGACAACTACCCAGCCCAGTCCCCCGCAATCACACACAACCGTGTGCACCAGCAGACCCCAGAACATCAATCCCGTACCCAAAGCGGATATCCCTGTGCCGAAAAGGGACACGAGGCAACAGGACAACAGACAAGTCAGGCAAGGAATAAGTGGGGTCACAGGCTGAAAGGCTGATCCTGAGTTGCAAAAACTGCGGCTCTCCAACCCCACGCTCCCACCCCAGTACAGTCAGCGTAAACAGAAGATACTTGAAACAGGGTTTTTCTTTCCCTTCGTAACACGAGCTGCTCCTCTAAGCTCCAGCAGCTATGCATACAGCCCTGTTGCACAACCAGGGCTTGCACAACCCTTGGAGGCATTTTATCAACTTGCTCCTCCAAAGCTTGGAGTTAGCTAGTGCCGAGAGATGCTAGCAATGACCCGTGAAAGCAAGCCAATAGATGCATTTCACAAGCAACCATGCAGCAAGATCCAGCGTACTTGCCAGCGCCGCAAAGACAGACCTACCAACTCCCTAAGCTGGTTACTAAACCTTCCCGGCAAACTTGCACGTGCACTGCCAGAGCCAGATTTTCCAAGGAGAAAAATCCAACCCCACCTTTAACTCCGAAGCTCCCCATCTCCTACTCCATACAGCGAGAACAGAAAGGAAAATTAGTCAGTAAGTCTACGATACTCCTTGCAAAGGAATAACTGGAGGCCCAGAAGTGGGTGATAACTAAGCAAGAATACTACAATAATCTGCCACCGTAGGTCAAACTCAGCCACTCTTTGGACTTGGGGCCCTAGAGAAGCCACCAGAGATACAAGCGCTCCTCTTCCACTCTTTCTGAATTCCGTGAGCGATCAGCAGCACACAGTTGACTTGAATGTTTACTTGGGGAGAAGCAGCAAGAGGTTATGAGCAGCCTGCGATTATTTGTTCCGATATATGAAATTTCAAACTCTATAAAAAAAGCCATCTTGGCAGAGGTGCACCTGTCACTGCAGGGCTCGTGACTCACTCTCAGTGATAGTGTGTATGAAGTAATCTCACCACTCGGATCAAATGATCACATTGGGAAAGCAACTTATGCAAGTTCTAAGAATTGTGTTTTTAGAGGTAGGAGAGCCCACGTCAGCAAACAGAACAAAGTTCAGTGTCAGCAGAGGTAACTGCTGGGTGGCTTTCTTTTACACCAGAGGAAAGGGATGGGGAGGAGATGGCAGGAGCGCAGACCTGAGCAGAGAAGCCTTTTCCTCAGTCCTTCAGGACTGAGCAAACACGTTATCTTGGCTGCATCGCAACAAAGGAGAGAGTAAAGATCAAATCAGATTTCAGTCCGGACACAGTTCCACGTGCCGCTTTTGCTGCGGGTGAACTGGGTAAAGAAACCATCGCTCCCAGCTCCCGGCCAGTCCCCAAACCCGACTGCGCCCACAGATGCTCCACAACCTGCAACGCTCAAAAGAAAGAGGTTACCTTGCACCAACAGCTCTGCAAGCAAGCGCTGATGGGGCCTGTGAGCTCCAGCACGAAGGGCGGCGAGCAGCGGGGAAAGCCTCCCTCAAGACAAGACAAGGAGTTTTGGTCGTACGGCCCCGTCGAGCTCCTCCAGCTGCTTTGGAAGAAACAAAATAAAAGTTGCAGAAGGCACTTACTTGCTCAACCCTGGCTATCCAGAAGGCACCACCCCAGAGATTATTGACTGAACAGGAGGCAACTGCAAAGCAATGACAAAGCAAGAGGTTTTACTCTGTCACAATTAGAGCAGGACTAAGTAACAGAGGGTTAAGCCAGCTGTGTGACACTACATCCTCCTTCCTGCCCACTCTTCACCTTACTCTCCAAGGCTTTTACACTAGATTAAAAGAAGGTGCTCAGTTGTGTCAGGTTTTTTTCCTGTAGTGCCGGTATCCTCCCTGCTTCTTCCCCACTTTATGGGAAAGCGTTTTGCAAATACAGTTCTCACGCACCATCACGTCCACGTGCAACAGAGGACTCTCCGAATCCAGACACTCTGTGCCGTGCACACCCTGCCTCAGAGCAATCAACCATCACAAGACACATCTGAAGGAAAACCAAGAGCTGTGCTGGGACAACTTCAGCTTCTCCAGGAAGGGCCCAGCTCACCAGCCCTTCCCCGACAAAACACAGATTTCCTCATCTTGCAGCAGATTAATCCACAAGTTTGCTTTGCATGTGCACAACAGCTCATCAGGATTTCTCAGAGAACTACGGAAATACTGAAAGAAAGCACATTCCCTTTTGTCTAGCAAAAGGATGCGTGCATCAGAGCACCCCACTAAGCACAGCTCTGCTGGCTAAGAACAACAACAACAAAGTTAAATCCCACGGCTCCTCACTATGGTCCATACAAAGCATAAAGCCCTGGGGAAGGAGGGATGTCCCCACCAATGCTGTTTCACTTTCAGAATTAGAAACAGAGACCTGATCCTTTCTTGTACTTTTCCAGCTTCTCGACTGGATATATGTTTCTGCTTTTTTAAAAAGAGCTATAAAGTACAATCCCATTTCAGTTTTCCAAATTCATTCAGATTAGGCAGAAAACCTCAGCGATCCCTCTTCTCTATATGCATTCCACCAAGCATTACTATTTCTTTTCACGCTCTGAAAGCTAACCCAAGCTAACCCACGGTCTAAACACTGGCAGACCAAAGCACGCTCCAAGCCGCACCAGCTGTGCTTACTCCTGCAAATAAGATGACTTCCTAAGAATCAATTCCACGCTGATGACTAACTCCCAACACTGCGATCCAGGTGTCTTCACCCTCTCCAGCTTCAGTATTCCCACAGAGGGGGTTTTCCATTATTTCCTTCGACAAGCACATTCCCTAAGGGGAGAATTTCACTCTCCAAAGCAATTCCATCAGGAAAAGACAGGGATAAACAGTATTCCAACACAGCAAAAGTTTATAAAGAGAAATAGGCGGAAGGACAGCAAACCAGCCCGGCGTGCAGCAAAGGCGTCAGTTAGGTGCCAGGAATAACTTTCTGCAGAGAAGGGCCAGAAAAAGAAGTTCATTGAAGCCTTTTAACCAGCAACAGCCTGGGATGGGGTAAGTAGAAGCAACCCTTCAGCGCACTGTGGAAGCGAGGCAGGGCGGACATCACCCTGGAGCACCCCTCTCCCAGCCTGCCGGCCCAGGACGGGCCCTGCCGGGGGGGCTCGGGCAGCCGCCACCTGCGGGGCAGGCAGGGCCCCAAGCGCTGGCTCCCGCCCTGCCTCACACCCCCTCCTCAGCCCCATGGCAGGGATCCCAGCACCTGGGTGCTGGCAAGCCCCCTGCCCCACAGCCCCCGGGGAGCCAGGCACGATAGGGGCAC